CAGCAAAGCAGTCCCAAGATTAGCAGGAAGGAAAGAAATAACCAAGGCAGTGTTACCATTGAGCATATGGATTCATGGTTCCAGAATATTGACTCTTAAAGGGATGCAGGAAAAACTGGAGCATGAAGAGTAGAATCTGAACAAGAGTGATTGTTTCAAAACAGTCAAACTGCTAACCCCGCCTGATTTCACTTAGGAAATTGAAGACAATGAATAAATGGAGGCAACGCAGTCGGGAAATTGAAGGAGATTTAAGCAAATTCAACAGATAGGTCCAAAGAAAGATGCTCCACATGTTGACTAGAAGGATGACTGTGGCATTCAGTTTGTAAGTTTCTGGGTCAAAATCAAGACGTTTGCTTTTTAGTATGCATTTTCCAAACAAACAACAAGCTGCGTATTTCTAAACCTCTCTGGAATTTACTGAAAGTTTTGAGTTTTGTCGACATTTAGGGCATTAGCTAAGTGCAATCTGAATTCTGTTCACCCCCAACATATTAAATAATCGAACTCTTTGGATTCAGGAAGACACAAATGAATTGGCTGGCCTGGCTGTGAGTTTGAAGCCACGGGAACACAATGACTGGGTGGCCAACTATTAGTTTAGGTCAACACCACTGCGGGACCTTGTGTGCAATTTAAAAAGATTAAGTATTTATTTATATAAAGTGGACAAACCTCACATTTACTACAATACAGATTTAGGAACCGACAGATACCTTCCACCTACCCTGGCCCGCGTCTCCCACCCACTGTCCTTGTTCCTCTTATCCCTTCTGTTTTCTCATCTACAATTTTTGTGCTCAAGTTTCACAAGCCCTGTGTTCTGTGGATGTGGTTTCTGTTTGTCCAATCTCTTTTCTCCAACGACTACTTCCTTTGGTTAATTCCATTTCTCATGTGTTTGCCTGCTTTTTGTAAACTTATTCTTTAGCTCTTATCCCAAATAAATGCAGGACAAAGTGAGAACCTCTTAATGTGACTGATACTGTTTCTATGTGTAGTTCCTGCTATCACCTTTAATCCCCCATGTCACTCCCCCACATATACCTACTATCTCTGTCATTGTAAACGGATTGTAAACTCACTTAGTGCATCATCAAGTTTCATGAGTGTCTGCCGTTAACTTTGCATTTCCTCCATTCAATGCGTCTTCTCACTTTTTTTCTGCCGTCGAACACTGATTCTTCCTGATAAGACGCAAACATCTTGTACTTCATTCCTGATTCTAGCCTCAGGTTCACAACCAGTCACTCTTCTCTTTAACAACTTAGTACATGTCTCTAGTTTTTCCATCTAGCATTCTTTGTTGCAATTACTTACGTATTTCTTCCCAAATTGAAAGTTGGTATCAGTAATGCTTCTATTATTTTTCCTAGGAAGGTTCTTGACACAGGGTGATACATGGTAAGCACTCAAATATATCTTATCCATCTGAAAGATGAATAAAATGATGGAAGGATGGATGAACGGTGGAAGGAAGGGAGCGAGGAAGGATGGACAAACTGGTGATGGGTGATGGATGGATGGATGGATGGATGAAGGTACTGACGGATGATGGATGATTTGATGTATACATTGATGGCTCAGTGAATTACTGATGGATGGATGCCCGCCCTTTCTAGTGTTGTTCTGTCTCCTAGCTGCCAAGTATTAACTAAGTCCTATGCCAGTCAATGTGATGGAGCTAAAAATAACAAGAAAATCAAATTACTAGCTTGAAAAATATATATATTTTACTTTAGGCTTCCAAATAGTCCCTTTGAAATCCTGCTGATAGTGAGGAGTTTAACCAAAGTGCGCTTCTTCTGTAAGCTCCCAGTCCAAGCAGATATCTTATCAGGAACCTCAGTGAGGGAATTATGTGGCACATTCCTTAGGTGTGCCTGTCTAGACCATGTCTGCTTAGCTCCTCCAACACCAGCCAGGATGTGTAAAAGGGAAGAAGGAATAAGGCATGTCCAGCTCCCGCTGTCTGGAAGATAATAAATAGCCTTTAGGAAAAATGTCAAAATTCTTTTCAAATGCAGAGAAGCTTCCCTAATTCTGCTTCTGTTGGCAGCAAATCCAAGCGTGTCGTTCCCCTGTCTACTGGTCCCTGGGATGTTTGAACACAGTGCAGGAGTCTCTTCATGCCCTGTAAGTCCCTGCTGACCTCCAGGCGCGTCCTATAGCACACAGTCAGCCCTGCTTCCCCTTTGCTGATGTTTCTTTGTTCAGATTCCTCCGCTGCTCAGAATTCGTCTTCCCAACACTTCCACACCTTTACCCTTCAAGACACCCCAGAAAGCCTTCTCCAGATTCTCTAGGTTTGAGTTAGGGAAGCTTCCTCCGTGTTCTTAGAGGCTGTCACATTTGTTCTTCATTAGCACGTGAATATCCCTGCAGGTGTTGCCATCCACTGGCAAGAGCAGCAGGAGGGAGCCAGAGCCCACAGACCTCTGTGCACAGGATTTCCTCTTAGTGGTGCCATAGGTCTGGCTTCAGCCAGGCTCAGTGGTCATTATAGCCATCTGGGGAATGATTGGGATGGGAGATATTCTGTCTCTCTCTCTCTCTCCCCATGCAGTTTCACCTTCAAGTAAGCAAATCTTTTAAAAAGAGAGGAAATGTGCAGATAAGCATACAGTTTTATTTTAATTGACGTGTGATAATTCTGCATATTTATGTTCAGTGTGATAATTCAATACATGAGAACAATGTGTAATAATTGAATCACGTAATTAGATGATTTCCCTCTTCTTGCCCTGTTTTTGTTTGGAGCCTTTGAACACCTCTATCCTAGTTCTCAAATATATAATTGCCCATTGTAAACTAGAGTAACTCCATCGTCCTATAGAATGTGAGAGCTTACTGCTCCTCCGCTTGCACTTTGGTACCTGTTTTCCAATCTTTTTCTCTCCTCTCTCCCCTCCGCTGTAGTAATCCCTGCCATCTTTGAGATCAGTGTGTGTCCGTACACGAGAGAGAATGCATAGTGTTTGTCTTTTGGCAGCTCTGTATCTCTTATCTCAGTATCGATGGGACACTGTAGGGCCTGACACCTAGCAGATATACAGTAAATAGTTGTTGAGTCAAGAAAAAGATCTTCCTAGGAAACGATCAGAAGGATTTGAAGTGCATCAAATAGAATAATGATTTCTTTTCACTCCTTCTAGAATAGCAGTGGTTTTTTTTTTTTTCTGTTTGTAAATAGTTGATGGCAGGGAATTTGGAGAATAAAAGATTCACGAAAGAAAATAAAAAATACCTGTAATCCTTCCATGCATAAACAAGCTGTGTTTTTATCCTCCTTTCTGCTTCGTCAACATTAAGCAGTGAGAATTTTCTCCGTGCTATTAACTCTTGAGAAAACATGAGTTTTTAATGTTCCAGTAGTCTATCAAATACATATGTAATGCATTTGCCACTCCCCTTCATCCTTCGAGACTTGATTCTCTCCTTTTCAGCACAGTCTGACTGTTCTGCAGTATGGAGGACCTAGCATGGATATTGTCCAGTCTCTCACTCTGAAATTTCTCATAACCTAATCTTCTTTCTCGGCCCCTTTACTTCTTCAGCTGCTGTTGGCATTAAGGGACTATAAAGCAAGGAAGACACTGTGGCTTCAGTTACTCTGTGTTGCCATGGGAAGTATTGGCATGCAGAAAGTCACCTTTCTGTATTTTACCGAATGTCTCCAAAGTGGCCTCGAATGCATTTCCTAGGGCCCAGAGTCCCACCTGACCATAGACAAGGTGGCTTTGAGGAGTGGCAAAGCTGTGAATGCTGTAGGCACACAGATATTAACTGAGGTGAAAATACTTCTGTTAAACGTTGGCTGTGGGGATGCTTTCCAAGGTGGTATCAGAAACTGTGCCTGGTACCTCTCCCTGTATCTCTAAACACGTGCCACGCATTTCTCCTCTCCATCTTGCTCACCAATGTGCCTTTTGTTCCCCTTCTTTTTCTGTTACAATTAGGGTCAAATCCACCAGGACTTTTTTCACCTTGATTACAAGAACACAGTGAATAGCTCCTTTGTGTTCACTCTGGGCTCTTTCCATTCCATTTCCACCACAGACTTCAAGTGAGATTATAAAATATTACAAAGGAAACATCTGTTTTTGCTCCCTCCCTGGTTAAAACCCTTCAGTGTCTCTCCGCTGTTTTAAGAGCAGAGTAAAATGAAGGGTTTATGAAACTCTGCCCTCTGTCGCTCTCCATCTTCTCAGCATCACCCGATACGACTCCTTATCTGTCCTGGCTTCAGCTCTGCAGAGTTCACATCATGACACCTTTGCCTAAGCAGCCCCGCCTGCTGGCTTGAGTGTTCACCTAGTTGCTGTGAACCCACCCCTCAGGTCGAGCCACACTTCCTCGGCCTCATCTAACCTCTGTTTCACTTTTCCACGGAAACCTTCGCATGTCTGTAATTCTTTCCGTAGGTCTGTGATGAATCAATACGTGTTCTTTCCGTTCTTTTGGACTATAAACTTCATGAGTGTAGGGATTATGTCTGTGTCTTGTTTTTCCATGGCCAACTAGCTGATTCGTGAAATGTTTCAATTGCTTAATAAGCATTAGTTCAACTCATACAAATGGATAGGCTGTGTATTCATTGATGCCGTGTTATGTACGAGCACGTAGTTTCCTCCAGGCGAACATCTTAAAGCACATTAATAGAATACTCGCAGATCCCACCATAGAAGATTGTTTGATCATGGGCCTCTGAATCTGGCAGGACAAACAGGTTGCATCCCATGAGTCACCCACAGTGAGTTACTACTGGGGGGCGGGGGTGATTCCCCAGGATGAATTTAGACTCCTGGACAACAGTGCATGGATAATTTCCCAAGCCTGCTGAGGGGCCCCACAGCCACAGATAGAGGGCGCCAGTGATGAGAAATGGTTTTGTTCTTTTATGCTTTTTCAACCATGGTAGTATTTTTTTTTCCTATGTTTGACACCTCATTATAATTCTTGCCTAAAAGTGTGCCTTCCTCTCTTCCACCCTCTAGATTCATGGTCAACGTGACATGGGATGGAAAAGACTTGTCCTTCACGGAGGAAGGCTACCAGGTGCATCCCAGGCTGGTGGTCATTGTGCTCAACAAGGACCGGGAATGGGAGAAGGTGAGCCTCTGTCTGCATGTGGAACTCAGGGAGGGGAGACGGCCTGGGCAAGGAAGGAGCTCCTGTTATGCTTGGATTCCGTCTCACAGCCAACGACAGGCTTTTGTTGGAACTAGGCAACGTATTGTGCGGTGCAGTTGGAAAGCTTTCCCTGGGTGAGCTGTGATCACAAAGTATTATTCTACAGGTTGGATCTCAAACTCAATCAGGAAGTATCCTTGAAAGATTTAGAATTATTTAAGGTCGGTCAAGTTCAATGCTTACCATGTACTAGCAAATGTTGACAGCATACCAGTTTGCCTAAACCACATACTTGCGTACCGCATTCACCGTTTGCCAAATGAATGAATACTTACATTGAAAAAACGAAAGTTGTAAAGTCTAGCTTCTACATTAAGAGACTAACAAAAGAACAAAGTAAACTCAAACGAAATAGGAAAAAAGAACAGTGGATATAAAAGTAAAAATCAATACAGTAGCATGCAGGCTGTGAAGAGAAATCAACGAAGCCAAAACCCAGCTCTTTGAGAAGATTAATGAAAATTTGCCATTGCTGTGTTTATGTTCACATGAAACAGAGAAAATGCAAATGACCCCAATATTAAAGATGCAGAGGGATTCTCTCCATAAGCGTTACTGATGCTATCGGCATTAAAACAAAAAAAATTGATTATGAAAAATTTAGCCAACATATTCAACAGTGTAGATAAATTGGGTGAATTCCTTGAAAGACATAATCTTTCCAAAATAACAAAAGATAAAATTGATGATCTGAATTGCTCTATATTTTCTAAGAATTGAATGCATAACTAAAATCTGTTTCTTTTATAAAAAGAAAAAAAGAAAAAAATCTTGGCCTAGATGCTTTCGCTGTGAATTCTTTTAAACACGTAAAAAAGGACAAACGCTGACGTACCCGTAGTTTTTCAATATGTTACTAATCATAATCCAACAATATATTTTAAACAGGATAATACCTCGCGGATAAGTAGGGTTTATCTTAAGAATATAAGAGTGATTTGGCATTCAGAAATACTTCAGTGTAATTTATCACATTAGCAAACGGGAGAATTATATCCATATCTACATAAATGCAGAAAAATTATTTGACAAAAACCCAGCATCCATTCAAGATATAGAATGTAGATTCCTTTATGTGGCAAAGAGTGTGTGGTATGGAAATCCTAAAGCAAATTTTCAATGATGGATTGTGAAAATAGCTCCAGAGATATATAGTTGCATTGTTTTTTAAAGTTAGTTCTCTCTCTCTCTCTCTCTCTCTCTCTCTCTCTCTCTAAACAGCAGGGAGAGAAAGGAGGGCCAGAAGTGAGGGGGTAGGAGGAAAGGGAAGGAAGGAGACATGTATAATTTTCTAACGTCCTGCAGCATACGAGGCTGTGGCACGCCAAAGCCAGGCTGCAGGAGCTCAGGTCAGGTCTCCTGCATGAGCCCTCAGGATGCAGATCCAGCACCTGCTGTCTCCCACCGTGTGCGGTAACGGTGTGTAGAACTGGGAATATAGCTGAGCCTCTAACCTGGGCACTTGACGGGGAGCACATGCTATATGAAATATCTTACCTGCTGTGCATAAAGCCCACCCCTCAAGTCGTTTCAGACAAATTATTATTATGACAGAGGAAAGGGAGGGTTTTTTTTTTTTTGATTATGGGAGTTGGGAAGGAGGGGGACGAGGGAGAGAGAGAGAGATGGCAGGAGGGATGGAGGAAGAGAGAGACAGAGAGAGAGAGAGAGAAAATCTTTCTTTCATTGATCTACTCCCCAAATGGCTGTGATGGCTAGGACTGGTCAGGCTGAAGCCAGGAGCCTGGAGTTTCTTTCAGTTCTCCTACATGTGTACATGGGCTGTCTTCTGCTATTTCCCAGGCATATTAGCAAGGAGCTAGATTGAAAATGGAGCATCTAGGACTGGAACCGGCAGTTGCTGCCATAGCAGGAAGCAGCTTAACTCACTAAGCCACAATGGTGGTCCCAGTAAAGTCTTTCTTACAAGATCAAATGGAAAAGAAAAACAACCTCGATGCACCACCTACATGCTACAAATGCATACACACAAATTGCTTGAAACAAATTATGGCCTTAAATGGAAAAGCTAAAATTATAAAGTGTCAAAGAAAATAAAGAAGAGCATTCTGTACCACAAAGGACCCATACAGAATATGTGAGGAACACCTACACCTCAGTAACAAACAGGGCAAGTGAAAGTAGAAAATTGGCTTAGACACAGCACAAAAAGGATCATTCAAAAGGCCAATGGATATCTGAAGACAAGTGATGCTCCCCACCGTTGGCCATCAGGGGCACTCTCGCAAAAGCCACTCCGGGCTGCTGCTGCATGGCCACGGAGTAGCTGGAAACAAATGAGGCTGACTCTACCGGGGTTGGGGAGGACGTAGCACACAGGCAAGAATGTCAGAGAACAACCATGGACATCATATCCTGTGTCATCGACGCTATCTGCCAGAGCACTGACTGACCACTCCGTTTAGACATTCCACAAATATGTATTTAGTGCCATCTGCATACCAGGCACAGAATCTGCTCTCAACACTTGACATCTGTCCATGAGCAACAGAGACAACTCCTGTTCCCGTAGAACTTAGCTTTGTCAGAGCATGTGCCTGCAGGAGCTGGAATAGGTCAAGGTTCTTTGCACTTGTGGTACGCTCGAACAAAGCACAGCCTCCTGTGTCCCCTTCAATATGCCCATTACACTAAGAGACTGAGTCTATGAGTGTGCTGGGTGTCCCTTGTGGATCTGAGACTTTGAGACATACTGTATTTTTTTTTTTCCTTTCTGCTTGTAATGCCTCTTTGTCCTCCTCCTCATCCATCCACTCCTCGAGTGTTAATTTTTCTGCCCACTTAGACACGCGAGACTGAGATGAGAATTATTACCCCTTTATCCCTAGTTGGAAGTAGAGAGTGCAGGCCTCTCTGCCCTACGCTGCTGAGGCCTGGCGTTACTTCTCCTCCTTTTGAAAGCTTCCTGTGTGAACATCACTTTGGAAGCTGTGAAAATCATTTTCTTTCATTGAATTTCACCAGTCCCGGGTCAGGCTTGGCTCTTACCTGCACATTTTCCATGCCACCCTCTGAACTGGCTTGTCTGTAGGGGAGCCAGTTTACAAGGAGGCCACTGCAGTGCAGGCAATAGCATTGGATTAAAAAAGAAGAAGAAGAAGAAGAAAGGTGCCCTTTATATGCTCCATTTCCAAATTTTAAAAACGCTTTTTAGTATTTTCTGTGTCCTCCTGAAATTCTGTTAATATAGCAATCTTCCCACCCAGTCCCCTCCCCCAAATAAAACACAAAACAAGACAGCCTAGGGAACTGCTGCAGGCTGGAACTGGATGCACACATACTTCCTGTAGCTTGTCTGTTCTGGTACTCAGGGATTCCGGGCTTTAAGAGTAGCTGCCTGTGCTTCTCGCTCTCAGAAGGAGGAAGCCAACGGGGCAGGTGAAGCACAGTCATGTCCTGCTCAAGGCTGCCGCCCAGCCCTGTCCACTACCCACAGGGACAGAAGACCAGCGGAGGGGCAGGGCTGGGCAGCAGGGAGTTGGTACTCTGGGCCACCTTCTTTTTTGTCCCTGAACTTACCCCCACGGCATCACTGGAAGCAGAAGCTTGTTGTGATGGTATCCTAGAAAGCAGGTCATGCTCTGAGTGAGGTGCTTGTCCTGTGCGTGGCCTTGGTGTGCGGCCGATGCCACACCTTGGGCATGTCTGTGCTGTAGCTCAGAAGGGAGAGCATCCTTGCTTTTGCAGATCAGAACGTTCGTGTCTTTTGTCTCTCTCCTGCCCTCTCCCTCTCCCCCCGCCCCCAACAATTTTTCCAGCTGGGAGCTAGGAATCCAGTCCAGGATTCCCTTGTGGGTGACAGGGACCCAACCACTGGAGTCATCATCTGCCACCTCCCAGGGTCTGAACCAGCAGGAACCTGGGATCTGGAGCAGAGCTTGGACTTGAACCCAGATACTCTGAGTGGGACGTGGACATCCCTACCCAGCGTCTTGGCCACTAGGTCAAATGCCTGCTCCTAATGTTACCCTTCCATTGCAATGTTCTCTGAACAAACATGAAAAGGACCCCAAACAGTTAATGCTAAAGCACACCTGGCATTGTATTCCCCATGGAAGATATGATTAAAGATGAAAGTTGCAGCCCCAGGAGTCACAGGGAGACCCCTCCTTGGGCCTTCTTGAAGGACGTGTCCCCTTCCCCTTGCTCTAGTTGGTCGGCTTTCCTCTGCACTGGCACTGCCCTGTGTTCTCACACTGTCCTCAGCTCCTGCTGCTCTCTGTGTGGAGCTGCTGCCAGATGCCAGCCTCCCAGCAGCCTTGGACTGCGACCTCATCTCCAGACGTGCCTGCACCTGCAGCACACCCTGATGTACAAGTCCCTCAGACAGATACCCAAGTTCACCTGGCCCAAAGTCAAACTCCCTGACAACGCTTGCCCTTCTAAGCCCTGATCTGTCTTATCCCAAAGCTTTGTGTCACCTTCCTGCTCAACTGTCATTGGCTCACACTGGACTCTCTTGTGGCTCTGTCCCTTTACTCTGTCCCTCTCCTCAGTTTATGTATCTGGATAACCCAGAATGGGTTGGATCCTTTCCAATGCATTTCTCCAGAACTGGATACTGACTCATTAGAGTAATAACGGCTTACTTCACAATTGTCTGCTTGCAGTCTTTCTTTAGGCCAGGAGCCTCATCACGAGAAGGTCTGCTCCATTCATCTTTGTCCCTCTGTCCTGTGACAAGATTTCTGTCCAGTGCGTAGGTGGGCTACTCTACTCTGTGCTGCCAGTGATGGCTACAGCCACTGTTTATTAAGAGCTACTTTGCACCAAGAACGATGCTGAGAATTTTACATTGGTGATCTTGTTTAGCCATTTCAACTACTTACCTAAAGTAGATATTTTCATTCCTGACTTACATGAAATCTCAAGGTTAGAGAGGCTGGTGGTCACCTTAA